GTACATGGACCCTTAGGGAAAGCTCCAAAAGGCTGACCATGGACAAACCAGTCACTAGCCGCTGCTCGTGGAGCCATGTCAGTATCAAGATGATGGCATCTTCCGTCTCAACTCGCGTATTCCTGAGCTGGATTGTGGGTTCAGAGCTTGAAGGCGTCTGGGTCATTCACATTCCATGGCAAAATCCCTAAGGGTCCAAGGACCTAAATAATAGGGTTTCAGGGCCCAAATACCATTAATATCATAGTATTTGGGACCTAAAACCCTTGTATTTGGGTCCTTGGACCCTTAGGAAATGTTAGAAACGATGTTTCACATCTTCATACGGAGCTCATGGTAAGCAAATGACAAAAACACTGCTGCACAAGATTGGCACTCAACAACGCGTTAAAAGGTTCCAACCTGCTCATATCGGAAAAAAGTGTCCTGCGACCATTTCGAGGGATGTAACTACACCCAAAGAGGTGAAAGTTACAGACTTTAGGGCCGGAACATGTCGATTGCTTGTACACATGGATCTCAGGGCTGTGTACAAACGCTTAGGATGCCTTCGAAGGCTTTCTCCATTTGAAGGCAACCGAGTCCTTGCATCACTCTTTTTCCATGGGTGGGTTTTCAAAAGAGACCCCCCAATTGCTGGACAACCCAATTGAGTAGCATTCCTTTGGTGGTTGAACCACGTAAGATCGCATTCCTCTCATAAATTGCGACACTGAAAATGACAATATGATCTTGCCCTCTATTGGGGACCGGTGACTGCAGTAAACACAAGCCCGATAGAAATGCAAATAGCCCAGCGTAGACAATATTTACAAACTTTAGGGCCCAATGTAGGCACTGGTTGTATACTCGGCTCCCTGAATAGCCCCTATGTGACCACAGGTTCCATGTTAATTTCCATTGCTGTTCCATTTGATTCTCCATATTGGGAAATAAAGTGCTGCGCAACTGTGTCTCAGGTTTAAAGGTTTTAAGCCTTGAGGCTGGGCCCCGAACTGCAGTCTTCCTGGTGCTTAGCAGGGAATCGGGGAATGGGCTATAGGGCCTACTACACTATGTGTGCCTGGGATCCCTCTCCAAAAAAAAGAGTAGCTGCCGCTGCCCCTTGGGAATCTAGAGTCAACAAAACCCCCCACAAGATTGCAGAAGCCCTAAACCCTAGACCCAATGTCAGGACTACTCTACGGATCCCTTCTCTCAGTCCCTACAGAGCACTGCATCCTCACCGCGTGGTCTACGAGGTTCAATCTAGGGTTTGGGGTTTAGGGTCAGGGTCACTATAACCTAACTTGAACTGGTACCTAAGCTCCATGAGAACCACAGAAAGGGATTCAGGGGGCTGTTTCTATGTCACCCCTCCACAACCGTCCTTTCTGGGGAGCGAACAGACTTTCTCTAGCAGTTCCACTATAATTGAAAGGTTTGAATAAGGAGCTGAGTTCAATACCACGCAGACGAGAAGTGTTCTCCCGGAACCTGTGTGGCTGTAAGTACAACTACAAGTAGGTTAGACTTGCCCCGAACTCCCAGGTAGGCGCGCTAAACCCTAAACCATAAACCCTAACGCCGGCGCTCCCCTTCGTCAAGAAGACTTGGATGAAGAGCCACCGCGCCTCGCTTGTCGTACTCACAAGCTTTAAGTCCATGCAGCTATAGCTATACGCGAGGGGGTTTGGGGTTATGGAGGTGGCATGTTGATGAACTCCCATTGACTCCCAGTCTTCGATTCTCTCAGTTTGTGTGTGCACTGGCCATCTTATGAAGCAGTATGAGGGCCTCCAAACTCTCTTGAAACATGCCTACGAAGAACAATATGCTCCTCATTCACCCCCTCATCCTTCTTAGAGGAAGCCAAAAACATGGACCCCGAATTTCCGGAAATCACTCACATGGCCTACCTCTACACACAAAGCCCTAAACAACAGGCCCTAGTTTCTAAAGGCTTCACATACGCTATGCACCCCTTTCGACCCTAAATCCTAAACCCTAAATCCTATGTCCTCAACCCTAGCTTCTGCTTAAGTTTTTGAACGGTTTAGGGTTTAGGGTTTAGGGAACCCCTAAACCCTAAACCCAGTCCCCCAGCCTCGTTCTGGTATTCCTCATCAGTCCAGGACCGGATCTCTGCCGGGTCTCGCCTGAATCTTGGGGCTTTGCGCGCACGTTGTTTAGGGTTTGGGGCCTAGGGTCTAGGGTTTAGGATTTAGGCCTTAGAATGGTGAGCAGGGAATGGAGTGATGGAAAAGAGCATGGAACGTGCCATAGGGTTGGATGCGGAGGGTTTGGTAGGAAATGGGGGTTAGCATTCGGAACTCTACGGGTATATAAGCATTTCCACACATGTGGTGGCCTTTCTTAGGACCTCACAATACTACAGGGACCCTACAAGAAGTACCCCATAGCGGCTATAAACTTAAGGACTACGAGACCCTAAACCCTTCACGGTTCATTTCAAGAATCTAGTCGTGACAGGGTTTGCTGCCTGGGGATTGGGTGGTCGGGTTTAGGCATAAAGGCTTAAGTCTAGATTGAGCGTTGAGGGCTCTGAGTACAAGACTTTGGCTTGTGAAGCTTTGAATCCTTCCGGGCTTAGGCTAAGGCTCCAGTACCTAGACTAAGCATGGCCTGGCGGTCTTCCTTGACATGACTGACTTAATGGCTAACCAACACGGACTCCTACTTATGTAGAAAACGCCACCCGTGGTCTTGGATTAGGGGTCTCCGGTTCTTCAGAGCCCTGTCCCTTATCCCCAATCAGAAGATCACGGAGTCCAAGGGTTTCTCTCTGCTGCCTTTTCCTGCGAACCCCCTGTGCAGATATGAAACATGATGTTGCCATGTCCGTTGAACCCACAGCCTGCAACGACACATTCAGAGTACCCCCAAACCCCACACCCTGAACCCTAAACTACAAGTCACGGAACAGTTGTCACCCCAATTGAGTGTCGGTAGGGGTCAATTCCCAGAAGTCTTCCAACAAAACAGACATAAACCATCTTCCTCTCCCTTTGGTTCCCCATTATTCCCATATATCTCCATATGCCCCTAAAACTTCCTGATAAGCCTCCTTTCCCCCTAGAAACCCGTCTGAAAACCCCCTACCCGTCCTACCCTGCACACCAAGCCCTTCCACAATCCTAGGCCGTAACTCCGAAACCCTTAACCTCGAACCCTTGAGCCTAAACCCTGAACCCTAAACACTTAATCCCAAACCATGAACCCCTACACCCGTTCAGGGTCCAGGATTTTGGGGTTCAGGGTTAAGAGCCCAAGGCTGTCGTAGACAACCCAGTCAATCCTGAACGGCGCGGCCTGGTTCAGAGCTTCCTTTTATGAATTCCCCTACCACCTCCCCATACTGCTGCTTAGGTTGCCCTTACATTAGCCCTGAGTATCATTAACGTAGCTTAATTGTGGGCGAACATGGGCAGGGCAGAAGGGGGGGGGGGGGAAGGAGGGGAATTGAAAGAGTAACTCAAAAACGCTAAGCACCAAAGCCCTGCCTAGACCTCTACACCCTATCCCGTCTTGAAGGTACCTAATGTTGATTGTATGTAGGAGATACTGGACATGAAGTTCGGTGTCCTAAGCCAGGGGTAGGGTATAGGAATCGTGTACTAAACAAGGGGTAGAGCACAGGGATCTAGAACAGTAAGCCCTAAAAGTCCTCAACGCCAGGCCCAAGCCCGAACCCTGCAAACCCTGTAACCTAAACCGTGTACACCCAAAACGTGCACACACAAAATCCCAAGGTGTAGAAACCGTATGAACCCATCCCCTAGACTTCATAACCATAAAAAAACTTTCATTTGCATATCCAAGTTCTTTCCATCTGGTTTTTCTCCATTCTCAGGGTAAGATGCGTAAACCCTATGGACCCTTTCAATTTTCTTTCCATTATCCATATCCACCCCAATGTATACAACCCCGAACCCCAAACCCTCAACCCAGCTAAACCCTTAAACCCTGAACCCCTAACTACAAAACCCCAAGCCCTAAAGCCTAAAGCCTGAACCCTAAACTCCATATTACCTGGCCCAGAAGCTGGCAGTATGACTGCAGCCATCGTTCGGGTAATTGGCTGGCTGTGAAGATTTGGTCCTCACACAATATTTGATTTTCCCAATTTAGGGGTACCTGTTTGGGGGTCCCAGTAACAAGGATTATAGTACTTTGGGGTTATATATATATATATATATTGGGATAATGGAAAAGAAAATGGACGCTACTATAATGGCGGCATAGGGTTTAGGGCTTAGGGGTCTAGGGTTTGGGGCTCAGGGTTTATAGGGTTTATAGGGTTTTGGGTTTTGGGCTCAGGTTTTAGCCTTGAGGGTTCAGGGTTTAGGCTTAAGGATTCGAGGCTAAGGGTTTCGGAGTTCGGGATTAGGATTGTAGAAGGGCTTGGGTATGGGGGTGGGGAATGTTCAGAAAGGCTTTAGTGGGTATATGAGGATTCCCAGGGACCTTAAGGACGTATAGAGGTATATGGGAATAATGGAATCAAGTGGAAAAGCAGACGGAGCATGACATGGAAACTGAACGTATGTAGGGGTTGATGTGCAGGTATTTGGGATTGTAGGTGGGCAAAGGAGGGGGCTTAGGGACTGTGGTTAAGTGCTTACGCTGGAGGGCTTCGGGTCTAAGTAATGGTTTGCTCGAGAAGCGCGATTCGGCGTTATCAGAAGGCCACCACTTTCCATCACTGTCGCGTACAAAGGGTTTTGATGGAACATCTATCTTCCTTTGCCTTTCTGAAGTGTGTTGCCAGGATCACGAAGACCATAGGTCCAGTTGCTGAATACGCAGACCTTGAAAGTGAAGCTCTATAAGTCTGCTTGTGTAAACATCGCTGAGCATCTGGCACATTCTCCATGTACATATGTTCGGATGACCGCAACCCTAAACCCTCAACCCTGAGCCTAACGTGTGGCTGCAAGCTTCTGGGACCTTTGAGGCCTGTCCGGACCTCCAAACTACCCCGAGGAAGGCCCTAGACATCCTAAATATTAGCCTAGAATGGATCCCTTCAAAGCGGTTATATAAGGATTATATAGGCTTATATAGGGGCTAAATAAGGGTTGTTATGAGGATATGGAGAAGAAAATGGAAACTACTATATTGGGTTATAATCTGAACTCTTTGTTATAGGCAATGTATAGGGGTATAGACCTTCCAAATCCCCAAAGGAATTAGTAGCCTTTCCAATCTAGGTCTCTTTATCGTGAGATTGAAAGATTTGGTAAACCCTGAGCCGTAAACCTCAACAATTTGAGATAGGCTTCAGGCTTGATATTTAGGGCTTGGGGATATAAACCACCGTTCATGGAGAATCAAATGGAAACACAAATAAAACATGAAATGGAAACTGGGATTGAGTAGGGGTTTGTAGGGATTAGGGCTCAGGGTTTGGAAATTGAAGCATCTACGCCGGAGAGATGCCGAGGTTTCCGAAACTTGGGGTTCTTCTTTATGGAGGGGGATTCTGTTATGTTTAGGGTGAAATAATGGTACCCTAACTCTCGTAAACTACCGAACAAGCCAGGAAAAGCAACAGTGTCTTGCAACGGGCTACCGCGCAGTCATGCATCAGTACGCGGTTTAGGGTTTTGGGTACTTGGAGAATACAAGAACATGCGTGCATCTATGCCTGCCAGCAACTGAAATCCACATGGATGCTAAACCCTAAAGCCTTGATTCGATAGAGTACCTGGTGCCACAAAAAACGAATGCAATCCTCCACCCTGAGCTCTAAATCGTGGACGCTACGTTGCAAACGCCCCAGAGGACCTTGGGGAACCGCTATGGGATTGAAGGAGTCTGCATTTTGGATTCCACAGGGGTAATTTGGGAGAAGCCCCAAAGCCTTTGATAAGGCCAGTGGAAGAAGAGCTGATGGCTATGTCAACATCCCAGAGGGACCCTGGTAATCTTGAGTTTGGAGCCATGTGTACAAACAAATGTGCCTGCCAGAGCTCTTTGTAACTCCTCGAAGCTTAAAGGCTTCCACTATGATCGTTAGATAGATTGTGCAAAAATGACCAGTCTATTGTGTTCTATAGCCTGAATGCCTGATCCCAAGCAGAAAAAGGATTCAATCCAGCCTTCAGTCTGCCACCTTCCTAGATAAAGGCTCATGTAAAGCCCCTGACATGACTATTGCACACCAGGACCTCGAGGGGCCCTGCGGTCCTTAGGGAGCTGGTAAGACTTCTCCAAGATGTCAGGGTCGAGGCTGTCCGAAAGCAAGGGTAGCAGAGGGGGCAGCACTGGAGTGGCTGCGCCAGACTCCAGCTTCAAGTCTGCATCGGCCTGCAAGGAACTTAATCTAAGTTATAATTTCATATAATGGAGAATGAAATTAAAACTAGGGGAAGATAAGGATTGAAGGAACTTAATTTTGCTGATGGAACTGAATTTATTATCCAACCGAGAGATCCTGCTGTTGTCGTGGAGAGGAGGCAGGATAAGAGCAGAAGTTTTGCATTGTATGGCAGTAGTGACGATACAGCATAACTCTACAATTGCTTGTGCAACCATTCCTTAGCTTTTTGGCTTATGGTTTCGTGATGTTACTGTTGGATGCTTATCTCTTTACCGTTCTTCTCTGCCTTTGATGCTTGACGACTTTGGTTTTGGCATGCGTAGGGAAGGTCTTGCACAATTGCGCCACTCTATACGCCACAGTACTGGGAAGTACCCTGCTTATCTACGGCGTGCAAGCGGGTACAGGCTTTCATGATAGGAGTAGACTACAGACTTTGGAGGCCTAAGTTGAAAAGTGAATATTACTGTAGTTTCCATTTTCTTTTCCATTATCCCTATATAACCCCAATATAACCCTAATATTACTCCTGTTTAATCCCTATGTTTTCTATACTCAACATCAGGGGAATGATAGTCAAGTAGTACACCAGGCAGTTGTAACCTAATTTCTTTGATACATCTGGTGGGGCTTTACAGATAATGATCCAAGGAAGAAAAGGTCATGGGATGAGGGAATGGGTGCCGGTGACTGGTGGTCACGGTGCTGGTGGCAGCGGCAGAACTGTCGGGGCGTGCTTGCCACGTGTGTTTGAGAGGTTGCCCCTGTATAGGCCTCCCTCCCAGCCTCCCCCCTCCAGGCTCCTCCGAATCCTTCCAAGTTTCAAAGAAATTGTGCTTTTTCCTGATTCGGGCGTGGTGAGGGCAGTGAAACGATCACAGAACACAAGCATGATCAAGACGCAGACCTTCCAATTTTCATCAGTTGTAGTTAAACAGAAGTCATTGTTGATACGTGTACACTGGCCTTGCTAGCGATTAGTGCGAATTCTCACATCTACTGCGATCCTGCAGTCACAAAAAAAATTGCCTTGTCGTGGTCACAAGAAAGAAGCTCAGCATTTCGACATTTCGAGAGCTCCCCGCTTTCAGCATCACTAGAGCCCGAAACCGGTGTCAAAGAAGGCTGTCTGCGTGACCCATGGCAAGGACCAACAGAAGGCGATGGAACACCTCCAAAATCTGAGAGCTTCGCGAAATCAGGGTCCCTCTTGATGCCCCGAAACCTATTTTTTCTTATAGGGACCCCAGCAATGGACCGCATAGCTTCCAGAAAGAGGTGTATGGGATTTTCAAAGGGATTGGAAGATTCTATAGGGCTCCCACGGACACAAGCCTCCCTGTCCAGCCTCTTGCTTGGGAAGGGATACCTGTAGAGCCGCTTCAGCAGCACCCAGACCCGCGTGGACAGCAGCAGGTGCTGTTTCCTCCTCAGAGTTTGCGGCTTACCGAGAGTAACCTATGTACTCCCCCTCCAAAACAGGAGGCTTTGTACCCAATAGTTGGTATCTTTATCTTGTGTAGGGACCTAGGTTGCTCTAGGTAGGGTCCAGGGTTTGAGGTCCTTGGGTTCCAGGGTCCAAATTTACAGGCTTTGGAGTTTCAAGCTGCAGGCATTAGGGTTTATGCTCATGGGATCTATGGCTTGGGGCGAAGGCTGAAATGGTTTTTGTTGTTGTGTTGTTTTCTTTGGGGGGGGGGGGGGGGG